GTTGTTGTTGTTGTTGTTGTGATTGTTTTATGTGTGTTTTGAAGAAGCATTTAAACAACTTTGTGCTTCTGGTGTTTTGTTTAAAATAAAAGCCGGGCATGAAAGGATCTCCTATTGACATGAGTATTGTAATTTAAAAATTAAAGCCATATTCATGTAAGAGTATTGAGTCATTTTGTCTGGATTACTTAAATTGTTGTTTGGATAATTTCATTTGTAGAGCAGTGCTGATGGTCATTCAAAACCAAGTAAATTGTAAGGAATGTAGTTTTGTTTGCCATCTAGCATTCCACCCGATTCAAACATTTTCCTTCTTTTGATTGAGTTTATCTAATTGATGATCATGAGAGTATACGAACCTTCTTCTCCAAGATCTCAGTATTGATTCTTACCATCTGACATTTTTGTATTGTCATCATATCTGACTTAATGGTAATCCTCAATATACTGGTGTCATAAGGGTAAGTCTCTTATTGGTCTTTTCCAAGTGTTTTGATAAGGATCCTGTGGTAACAGAAGGCTTGCAAATTCCATATCATTTTCACAGGCTTATCAAATCAGAGAAGGCCTTCTTAACTCTTTGATGTCATAGAATGACTGTATCTAATTTCTCTTAACAATGTCACCCATGAATCAAATATTAAGGTCATGAGAATTGAGGAAATGATCACTAAGCAAAGACGCTCTTGATTGTTACATGAATTCTCCTTGACAGCACCTGAGGAGATATAAAGGGATGGAATGCAGAATGTGCATACTGATGTTTGATGTAAGGCTTGAGACCAGCTTGAGGAAGTAGGGGCAACCTCTGACTATTGGGATTTCTCTCTCTAGGCCACCTCCCTGTACCTCGTTCAATATGGTGCTAATCGGTGGCGAAAACAGCTGACGGTAGTGTCAGCGCTCGATGGCTGGCTTGGGAAAAAAAAAACCACGCGTGCGCCATTAATCAGTGGGTTTACAAGAATCAATAATTCAGAGATCGAGCTCTGGTTAAGTTGAATGAAGCAACTTCTCAGTTGTGAAGAGTTAGATGCTCAACCTACTGAAGCAAGCGTGTAACATTGAGGATATGGATTTGAATAACAGTGGGTAAGCCTTTAAGACTATTGTGGTTCAGAGAGATGCACATACTCTAGCCCTTTGTCGAGTTTCAGTTCTCTTGTTTCTTGTAAATGTTAGAAGATTTCAGAATTGAGTTAACCCTTTAACTCCCATGAGTGATGAAGACACAATTTCTCCTTACAATATCAATACAATTCCAAGCATACAAGTAACGAGAAGAAAGGGAAGTATCGGTTAGTGGTTTATTAGTTGATTAAACTCGAAATTCTCCAAACTAACATTATAAGAATTGTAAGGGGACAGTCAGGAGAAAAACTAATAAGATGTTGGGAGTTATAGGGTTAGGTGTAAATCATGAGTTGGCATTATTAGGCTCCTGTGGTTGTAGTTCTTTGTGATACCACAGAATCACCACCCAACGATTTATATTACTCATGTTGATGTTTCTTTTACATTTTGTAAACAAGGAATGCTTTAGAAGTTAACCCTCAATCGATACTTAATAATTTTAAGAATAAATTAAAGGAATTTTTAAAGCAAATTTTCAAAAGCCAACCGTCGAGATTACACTCACTGACCTCCATGCAGAAGTGGTTTGATCTCAGCATGATTTTTCTGTTAAAGCAGTCGCCTACTGACTCACTGACCTATAGATCATCACTTCCTAAACTAGAAGTGTCTCTAGAATCTTGTGAGTGATTGACTGACATTTATTGCCTCATGTCAAGATGGTATTTCTAGATTGGCGTATTGCGTGACGATCTAGAGAATTGTCAATCAATACTATCGACTGTCTAAAATTATAAGGTGACTGCATGTTATTCGAATATTTGTTTTGCTAAGAATTAGCTGGGATTTTGCCGAAAATTTCACGGGCAAAGTAAAAAGGGGGAGGGACCAAAATGACAACGTTACTCGCCAGACTGCATTGGCGCAATCAACTTATTGTTTGTTACTGATTATTATTTGGTGAAATTGAAATCAATTTACGAAGCAAAGAAGATTTTAATGATTGATCGGTTTACAATCTCAACTAAAACATTTTAATTCAAAAGATTAGACTAACTTAACAAAATTGATATAAATTGACAATGGCTTTGGAATACTTTCCAAAAGTTTGACAATGAAGATTCTGTCCGCTTACTCGGGAGCGCGGTCCTGTTTTGCCTTGGGGCTGTACGGAACGATCTGGTAACGAGCACTGTGGAATGTGCGGGGTCTGGTACTGTCATTGCTTGTCAGATAAGGACACGTGAACTTGATGTAAAAAATCAGACACAATGTGGCAAAAACACTCAAAACGTTTGACATCAACGTCACTTCCGCCATAAACTGTATCAAGTCGGTGAGAGAACACTGCGCTAACCTGGCCAGGAACGTAGCTGCAAACACTTTTACCAAATGAATGCTGGTATTGTTTTTCACCATTGCATGCAGCTGCCTGGTGAAACAAAACTGCAAATGTAATTTTGGGATTGTAATGGCTTAAGCATGGTGGAAAAGTCTGGAGACGCCTAAACTTAATACGAGAAAGATCTCTTTTTGAAAAATAAATTGTTGAAATGAGAGCGTGCAGTGATGTTATCCGTTAGATTAACAAGAGGCAGGCAAGAAAATTTACCGTCATTTGATAACTGCTATTCAATAGACTACAAAAAGAGGAATCATACGATGCAAGACATAAATAATTAGAAATTTAGGAGAGTTTTCCCCCGTTTCAGCCGTCATTACAATATTTGATGGTGAAATTCGTCCGTTAAATTTTGATTTTACTTCAAGGCTAAGCATATTGATTTAAAAACTACTATAGTTTGATGAAAATGTAAGTAAAATTGCGAATAACAAGTAAACAATGAGTTGATTGTGATATGTGCGACATACCTAACACCAGGTAGATTCGAGATTTCAGAACTTAAATTCGTGCACAGGCGGCTAGGAACTACTGCATTCACTGTTAAACGAAAGTTTCTCCGCTAGACGCTTCAGAAACATCGACGAATAATATTCATGGCTTAAGATGAAGGATTTCCAGAAACAATCGTATGCGGATGCATTGGAGTTTCGTTTATCATGTTAGAAAGAAAGACTAATGACGCATTTCCTTCTAAGGGAGAATAGTTCTTTTATTTTTTTCTGGTACAAAAACAAACATATTTTCTCCAGTTTTGACAGAAAACGGCTAAAGCTTGAATTCGAATTTACATCTCCGCTGAGTTTCATACTTAGACGAGCTACCATCTTTGGTAACCATCATGATGAAAAAATAATATCTAAATTCGTAACGTCGTGCCAAGGAATTTCCAGGAATCAGTGGACGGAATTAAATAAGGTTGCATGCAACAAATTGAACAGAAAGGAATCAGTTGAAATAATATGTCAAAAGATGTGCCTAGCTCTAGGATAATATTTTTTTCAGATAAATGCTCCCTCGTAATTTTTTTATTGCGACCATAACAGTGTTCTTTGTGCTTTGGAAATCAACCCAAGATGTACGCTTTCACCACTGGTAGCCCAAGCTCACAAAATGAACCTCCGCATAACATGCAAATATGTTTAGCTTGCTCAATGGCCGAAATGAAAGGACTTGTATGAGAAGAAACGGTCCCTTTCTCAACCTAGAAAATCTGGACTAGTTTTAAATAAAACCAAACTTGCCTTGCTAAAGAGATTGTTCCTTTGCATCGAGCGAGTTTCTTGGGCTGATTTAGGGCCGATTTTGGACAGTAGCGTCCGATTTTCGACACTAGTGTTTGATTTTAGTCACTAGTGTCTAATTTTAGGCACAACTTCTCGATTTTGGACAGTAGAGTCCGATTTTCGACACTAAAGTCCGATTTTAGGAACTAGTCCAATTTTGGACACCAGTGTTTGAATTCGGACACTGGTGACTAAACTCTGACGTCAGTTTTTAAAATCGGACTGTAGTGTGCAAAATTTTTTTTTTGTTTTTATATCACTCGATATTATCTTTCTATAAAGCAAAGTGAAAGGTGAATCGATGTAACTAAAAAACAGATACCCAGTTTACTATATTTCAAACTTGTCGCTCTTTGAAGTATAAAATCAATCCCTTTCAAGTCCGTGTTTGTCTTGCGAGTGTGAATTCATGCGGCTACCTCATAAAGCACACGAATTAAAACACACTCAACTCGGTTCCACAAAAAAGCATAAGTCCGGCCTCTAGATATGGGTGCTAAGTCTACCAACAGGATTACTTAAACTGAGTACGATTCCTGTTTTTAAAGGTGGTTTTCTTCGATAACTTGCAAATTTTAATCTCTAGCTAGGCTTTTCAGTTGAGTGTTGAAAACTAAAATTCAAAATTCTTCTTTCCTCCTTCGCAAACGTTGTTAAGCTCGTCACGTCACGTAATCGTTCCACCCCAACAGTGTTTTTGTGAGGGGGCTGGGGAATGATTGCGTGACATGCGAGCCTAATGACGTCTGCGCAGAAGGCCAAAGTTTCGCAAGAGCTGGTCGTGATAAAGTAAAGACAAAATAAATACTCGAATTGCTTGAAAAAGCGTGTGTCCGAGTCACGTTTCTTTAGCTTTGCTTCCGATTGATTCCAGTGAAAATACGAATTTCCTAGTCTAATCACAATAGTTTATGGCAGACCAATCATTTTAGAATGAACACTTCACCCATCTGTAAATCGCAGCACAAAATGCGTCCATCAGGCGTTGTGGTTAAAGCCGTGGGATATTGCAGCTTACACACAGTTTTGCCAGTGAACTCACCTTCCGTTGTGAACTGTTGAATACGACCATTATTTCCATCACAGACAAGAAGATTCTGATGATCGCTATATTTCTCAATACACAAACCCCATGGAGAGCACATCAGCCCATCAGCCTCCCCTTTCTCTCCAATCCTTTTTAGAAACGTCCCTGAACGGTCAAACACTTTCAAACAGTTGTTCCAGGCATCAGAGACAATGAATCTGCCTCTGTGAAAGACACACCCAAAGGGATGATCAAGCTTTCCTAAGCCGTAGTCTCCAAACTTAAGCACTGGCTCACCATCTTGTGTCAAGACTTGGATTCTGTTGTTGAAGCAGTCGGCCACAATAACATGTCCTTCGCCATCCATACAAACACTTGCTGGGTTTTTAAACTCTCCTTCTCCTGTTCCTTCTCCTCCAAAGCTTCGTACAAAGGTACCTGTTGACAGAATGGAAATTTTACAGATTAAGCCGACTTCCTATTTCAGAATCTACTTTCTCTTCAATTATGCCTTTTTTAAAGCAATTAAAATGTTTACCTTAAGCTAATTTTATTCGTCAAGCGCAACCCTAAAAATGCATCGTTTCAATTGTCTTAGACATGTTTTTGGACAAACATCAGTAATACAGGAAATTCCAAATATTTGTCTCCGGTGCGACCTCGGTCTTACATAGAATGCAGATGTAGCAAACACACATATTTCGTATTCGAAGCTTACTCTACTTCATTTTGGGGCAAAATCTTTACACCTACCTATCTTTACATTGAACTGTTGAACGCGGTGATTCAGTGCATCTGCTACCAGAATCTCGTCATCATTCAGGAACGTTACTCCAACGGGACTGCTCAGTTGTCCAGGTTTCTTTCCATAGCAGCCGAGTGTTCTCAGGAAATCTCCTTTTTCGCCAAATATAAAGATACAGTGTTTGTGGATATCAGCAACAGCGATTAGCCCCTGGCTGTTGACGGCAATTCCAATGGGCTGTTGAGGAATTTCTCCCTTCAATTCTAATTTACTGATAACATCCATCTGTCGTTCTTTCGCTTGTACAGTAAAATGACTGTCAACAAGCTTCTCGCCATCTATGAAGATGTCGTAGGTGCCTGGTACCACAGGAATAAACTTGACGTGAAAATTGCCGTCGTCTCCTTTATAAATACCGACGATTTGCACTTTTTCAGCGGGTTCCAAACTCACTTCTACGTGAAATTCTTGGTTCGGGTTACCCTGCACGGGATGAACCACGACATCTGCTTCTAAACCAGCTCGAATATCTAAGTTTTCAGTCGATAGCTCCATCTGATATCTGATTGACTTGAAATTGACTTGAATCTCAGTATCTCTGCTTTTTATCGCGCCTAGTGTTGAAATTCAACAGTATCAATTGCAAAATAGTTTTTAAAACATTATAGTCGTTATCGGAAGCGATGGAAATGCTGTTTATGGAACCAAGGGATCACCTTTGTTTGATCATAAGATCACATCATTGTCTGTATGATAATCACGCCTTGGTCACAGGGGTGACTGAACAGTCAACTCTCTCGTAAGTGGACAGCTTTATTTACGGACACTTTTTCAATTCTCCTTTTTTGACTCCCAGTCAAGCTCGGTATTTACACATTCTTGTAAATGATCACTCTCTCGTAAGCGGACCCGGACACCTTTGAAAGTGAAAATTGGATTTTTTTTTGTAGTTCATGACGAGCTTTGCGTCGGAAAAAAATATTATGCAAATTAGCTGGCTGCACATTCAATGTCCAGACAGCTAATTTGCAAAAGTAATTCAAGCCAAGGTTCAGGGACAACTGATAGTCTCCCCATTCGGTCTACAAGCTTCGGCGCAACGCAATTATTCTTATAATGACCTTTTATGTGCGAAGGTTTCAGTTTGGAACGGCATTTTTAGCTTTTTTAGCTCCTCATGACTCCCTCGTAAGCGGACATCCCATGCAAAAAAACTGATTTTTGGCGATTAAATTTTTCGTAAAGAAACAGGGTTGACAGGGTAACAGAATAGTAGAAATCAAGAGTCTCCATGACGTGCTTTGCCCACCAAAAAGATTTATGCGAGGTCCGCTTGGCAATTATTAACTATAAGAGAAGAAGTGAGTTCGCGCTCCTAGTACGATCGAGGTGTTGGGGATGAATTTTCGGCAATTACTTTTTTGGCACTTTTTGGCTAGAGTAAACCAAAACATTTAAGTTGTGCTTTCTCGTCATAATATAAATGTTTTCCAGATACGGATTGGAGGTATGATGTTAATATTTGGTTAAGGACACATGTTAATGTAAAGCGCAGAATGTAAGCCAAATAAATTTTACAGTTTAACTCAATGATCGGAATTTTTTTTTTTACGAAGGATAAAAAAGGATCGACGCCCACCAAGAGCGTCGGATTCACTCGCGTGGAGTCAACCATTTTCTCTAAAAAAATAAAGGTTATTCCCTCACTGAAATAAGACAGGTATATGTGGCCGTGTCAAAGCCAAAAATACAGGCACAATAATTAGTTTTTAATAAACAGAAATGGTCTAGTTGTCTTTTGGAGAACGGTTTATCTTATCTCAAGAGCTTTATTTAAAATGCAAATGGGCAAGTCGCCCTGGGTGAAATGAAATATTCAAACAAAAAATGGTTTATACAATTCAGAAACTTTGTAGCCACCCTTGCTGAACTGATTCCATAAAAACACGATTGGCCAAGTGTTAACTGAAATGGTTCAATGTCGAAATGACAGGCAGTTCGGCTAACTGTACTTTGGCTCAGTGACTTGACACAAACGGTTCAGAGTAGTGTGAAATGAAAGTTATCAGCAAATGGTTAATCGTAAGCCGCAATGGCTTAGTATCGCATCAATCTACTCACCGTGTTTACTTACTCGGAACTGGTTAGATCAAATGACCACCACAAACCGTATAATATCAAGCCGCGCTTTAATAATTATTCGATCTAAAAGAAATACATTTATAATTCGCAATTAGAACAAACGCAAATCAAGTATTTATCTCGTAACTAAATTAAAAAACTTCAATATAAACTTACTTCTGTGGAGGGTCGTTACAACGGTCTCACTTTATGGGTTAGCAGATTCTCCAGGTAAGCGGATTTAGAGACAGAAAAACGATAGCAAAAGAACTTCTTTCTCACTTCGATTCTGCTGAAAAACTGACTTGAAACAGAATAATCTAACGCTTTTAAATCAATTTATTGAAATTAATGCCAATCACGATTCTTATCATCGAATAAATCTGTCAACACGAGGCAACGCCTATTTATTAAACGAAACTCACCGTAAAGTGAAATGGTTTAACGTGACGACAAATGGTTTAGTACCAACCGAAATGGTTTAGTGTTACAGCAGTTGGTTTAAGCTGTAACCACCAAAAATACAAAAGTGAAATGGATAAGTCAAACTTGAAATGGAATAGTCTATGTAGGGTCTTACGTCACAACTCTTACGTCATTCAGATCGAATTTGACGCGAAATTATAGTGAAAACTGCTGTACTTTAAATGAATAATTGTTACTGTGGTTAGGCGTTACCATGGTGAGAATTCCCCATTTTACTACCTCAATATTAAATAAGAATTTGAAACAAAAGGAATGACAAGAATACTCATGAAATCCATCTTTTTACGCGACAGCACATTTACAGTCTAGATAGTAAGAACCATAGCTAGGAAACGTGATAAAGCGATTCATTGTTTTTAGACGACGAAACTACAACTAAAGGGCGCCCAAAAACTATAAAAACTAAAGGGCCTAAAATCGGACTTCAGTGTCCAAAGTTGTGTCTAAAATCAGACACCGGTTACTAAAATCAAACGCTAGTGTCTAAAATCGCACCCTTGTGTCGAAAATCGGACGTTACTGTCTAAAATCGGCCCTAAATCAGCCCAAGAAATTCACACGATGCAAAGGAACAACCAGTTGAGCTAAGTGAGATGATTTCTACACAAACCTAGGTCAGATTTTTTAGTTTGAGAGTGCGACCATTCATTCCCATACACATCCTTATATTTCGCTCATTGCGCAACGTAAAACATATGCGCATTACAGAAGCAAATGTGCGAGCATGGGCTACCTGTGGTTGGACGTCAAGGACGCTGAAAATATGATTTCTTTTACGTGATATTCTTCATAAGTTAAAATGGAATCTCACTCTTGTTTATATTTGTAATATTATTTCTAACTACAAAAAATTTTATAACTTTTCTCTGGACCAAAAAAAAACATGGATTACGCAGGCCCTAGAGGTTCTACTGTCTACGGTTTTTAAACCCCAGTAACTGTAATCACGGGTAAGTAATCCCAGTATCCGTAAGATTGCCAAGAACTACTAACGTAGACCCTCAGGGGTGCACTCGGTTCATACATCATGACCTCGAGCCAAATATTTTCCTGTCTGGCCCGGGAATAAGTACCTGCCCTTGTGTTCGCACGCACGGCCCTATAAACTGCAAAGAGCCAATCAGCAGGTGAACTGCAAAAGCATCCAAGGTTTTTTCCATGAGACTTTTGCCCAGTTTTTGAGGGAAAAGCAAAGGGAAAGAGTTTGAACGCGCTAATAGCCATTCCATTGCACAGTGATAAAATGGAAAATCAAATTAATAACAAAGAAAAAAAATCGTAACGAACAAAAATATATTTTTATTATAAACTTTTCAAAGTGAAATTACAAAAACCAATTTTCCCGACGAGGTCACTATCACGCTACTTGTACCAAAATGCCATATTTACATGGTCAGGAGCCCAAGTAATGGGCTTCTGACATGGTTTTTTATCTATTTGTTTTACATTAGGATCGCATAAGGGGGCTGGAAGAAGTTACATCGCAGCTTTTGCAACTCAAAAGTTAAGCCTCAAGTTTAAAATTCCTCATTTGCAATCATTGCAAATCTTCATCATCCTTGGTCACCATCGTTTATCGTTGGTTTTTCCTTCACTTTTTAAAGTTTTTCTTTCATACTAAACTAATATTTTTCTGGTTCTTTCATGTTTTTCCAAAACCTCGTACCTTGCCTCGTAAAATACCTCGTAAAATGGCTAAAAGTTTTTTGATGTAGCTTCAATGAGAAATCACACCTGCAACTAAACATTAACAAACCCTCCATCAAACCTGGAAATTTTGTGATTGGCCGCACCCGTTGCACGTGTCCCATGACGTTAGGCCCCTTCTTATTTTCAAATTTGAGAATAGACACTTCTCTATCAGGGGTTCACATCTTCAGAAAATGGTCAAAAGTACTTATTTAGTTTCACATTTGTATAGCTTTTTTTTTTATCCCGTTCCGTACTTTTGTAATGTTAGTGTTGTTTCTCATTCGGTTCAAATATTCATATTTAAAAAAAGGAAAATCCGAGCTTGTCGCGGACAGAAAACCTATTGCATTTCGCTGCACTGTGTTAGTGCCTCGTTTTTCCTCCTACAATCTACTTACCTTTCAAACTACCGCTATTTACATTTATTCATACTCATATGTAAAACGATCTCCCAAGTGTAAGAAAACATGAAATGGAAGACGATATAACTTTCTGTGAATGATCGCGTGACCTTACCTAGGATGACCCTCTTTTTCTCGTACTATATTTTTTTTCGGTATCTAAAAAAATGTTATTTGTTCGGGAACTAAGGCAATCACCAGAGTGACGCCGATTACAAAATTAGCAAGCATTTGTCTCGCTGTCTCTAATGGCGCCAGCTCCCTTGCAAGCCGCCGTGAAGGCAGATTTGAGTTTTAATGAGAGACGATGACGGTGTCTGTGGTTTTGCCTGAGTTCCCTCATAAGTAATTGTGATGACTAAGGATATTTCCGCGGTACCATTCAAAGAGATTAACAGATTGATGCAATCATCAATTTCAGTTCAAATCCTAACAGGATTTTTTTAAATTTCGAGGATAAGTTGTCTTCTTCTTGAACCGCCATCTATTTCTGCATCATTGGTAGGTAAAGTAGACTCTGTCTGCTGTTGCTTGGCTACAAATTCTTTGGCGGGCAAAGTATCTTGATTTAAGTCTCTATACTGGCTTATGTCTCTGTATTCGACAGCAGCTGGAGGGCCTGAATCTAAGTTTAGAGTACCATCAAGTATCTGACGATCTGGTGGTTCTGACACGACTATTCGTTGGAGTTTTCTGTAAGGTCTCTCCCGGAGATCAGGGCTCTCCAGTAGATCCTTGAGAGAAAATCTCTCACAATGGTCCCCTGTGAAAAAGGTCGGGCATCTACAAGAGTTCCCTTCTAAGCACCTTCCGCCATTTTGACATCTTGGAATGCATGCTGGTGAAACTATGGCATTAGGGAATTTAATGAAACGTTTTGAGTTTTCTAGGAATGCAAAGGCAACGTCGAGATATAAAATACCTTGACGATGAACTTCTGGTAGATTGACAGATATAATATAAAAAGACATATAATAATAGCTGCTGCAAACAATTTAGAAACCTAAGATCTTGGCCAGCTAACAATGGTAGTGTAATAATAATAATAATAATGATAATGATAATGATAATGACAATGATAGCAATGATAATAGTGATGATGATGACAATGATAATGTTGAAAATGATTAATATGTTAAAAACAACAACAAGTCAGGTCAGTTAAGTTTTGTCATATTTAATGAAGCTCCTACTGACCTCCATCAGGGAACAAGTCTGCTCTGTTGTTTGGTACTATGATGTTCACTATGGGGCGCACCACCGCGTGGGCCTCGGAGGAGGGCGATGATTGAGCCCCTCCACGCAAACTTAGCCGAGCACTATCTTGAGGCTTCACCTGGTCTTCATTCTCGAGGTGAGTGTCAACTGAAATTACAGTTATTTAGTAATCACAATAATGAGACTTTTTCAAATGTGCCTTACAGGCAGAAGAACGTAAGATGCGATATAACTCTTGTGGGAATGTTGCCTCCTCGTAGAATTTGAACGTCCGTCAAAAAGTGAAATTGCAACGGTCCCTCTGATGTAAACTTGTCTTAGTAATAAGAATCATGAGTTATTTGATGCGAGTTACATCTGTTTAGCTGGATACTTTGTACCCTTTACTGAACTGATATGATTAATATGCATAATGGTGCATAATGTTTTACTTTAGTGACACTCAGTGTAATAAAAGCTAATGAGTAGAAATGTTTTGATTTGGATATAGTGTATGATCTGGGCTTCTGCAGATGGGTAACATGGTAAGGAGCTGGACAAATTCACGATTTTGTTTAAAAAATTTCAATCACACACAAATTACAAAAAGTTTACTTACCTTTGGTTTCTTGTTCCTCATGAATGAAATGAGAAGGTTTGCTTACGTGCCCTGATCTTTCGGGGAACAGAGATGAAATTGGTATGACAATCTTTTCGGGATTTGGTAGTTTTGGAGCCTCGTCTTTTGAAATGTAGACATTGGTTTGCTGGTTGTGAGCTGGATGCTTCTCTTCAGGCTCGGATTTTATGGAAGAGTGGATAATGGTCGGCATTGTTGGCTGAGGGACTTCTGAAAAGAGACCAGAACATTTTTGAATGTGTGATAGAACGTTAAAGAAGTTTAAGACTGTAAATCTCCTATGACTTCCCACCGTGTACGAAAAGTGAAGCAGAGGATAGAAGAGTATTGAATGGATAACAAGAAAACAGATAAAATGGAACAAAGTTGTCGAGAAGACCTTAGAAAGGTTCAGTCTTGAATGTGTTGTGGACCCGGCTTCCTCTAAAGGAGTAGCCAAAAAGCTCAATTTTTACACCAAGTAACAGGGATGTTATATTTTCGGTGTTAGCATTGCTTGTTTTGAAATTTGCCTTAGAAGACACCATTCTATATCTACACGCTTCATGTGGTCATGGGGAACACAAGTGGCCATTGAATCCCAGTTTATAAATTTCTACCTTATTGAATGAAAACATCAAACACTAAAGATTGAGTCATAATTCCAATTGTTCACACCTGACTTTTGTTCTACGACCAGCAGGCGCTTCGCCAAATCTGCCATCGCTGTCTCCAAAACTGTAACCTCGCTCTCCAGCCTCGAAACCTTTTTCTCCAAATTGTGAACTTTATCATCGTTGTGGATTCCGTAAACAAAACTCGAGCCCCTTGGTCCTGATGTGCAAGAATATCACAAAATGTGTCGAGTTGAATTCTGCATATTATTCAATAAGCTGGAGGTCATCATGGCTCTTTATTCCTCTAATCTATATTCAGGACCCCCTTTCTCAATTTCCTCCGTAACCAGTCCGCAGTCCGAAGCAGCTAATTGTAGCGGGTAGAGGATTAGTCAGTCCGTTAGTCAAACAACAAGTCACACTTCAAGTTTGAATTAAGTTGTGTTAGAATTTTACCACCCCCTTCCCAAACATTCGAGCCTTAACCGCGCATATGAGATGCATATAGCAAAGAAAAAAAGAAAAAAACGTCTTTGTGGCATCTTGCTGGGTCTGAATTCCCTGCAACATTAAGTTTGAAATTAAATACTACAGGATACATCGAGTTCGCGAAAGAGAAAGTCAATACCTTGCACAATCTGTTTAATGCTGTATGTGTTATCGTCGTTTGAAGTCGTCAGAAGAGAAGTGGGAGGAGTGCGAGACGTTAAGACTTCAACTGTCAGTACAAGATGATTGATGGATGTTAGTCTGCGTCATGAATGTTTTTAGCGCTTGCAATTAACACAAAAAATACTTACATGTTCATTTATTATCCTGTTGACGTTATGGGTTTATATCATAAATTGGAAAGCGACGTGGAAGTTTTTGTGGTAACAAACTGGTCATTGATAAAGAGATATGAATAAAATAATGAAAGGATGAATAGATTCAGTAGTGACTGAATTAAAATGAAAATGGAATGAGCGAAGTATAGAAATTGGCTAAAAACAAAATGATGATGATCTTTTTGAAGATTTACCTTGGTGAGATTTCGATGATTGTTTGTCCTCCTCTGCAGGAGTTTGTTCCCTTCCAGAAGAACTATTCTTTAGTTTACTGGACGTCAATTTGTCATCAATTCCTGAAATTTTTTTTGCAAACAAAAATATGTATCTATTGTGTAAGCCAGTTTAGGTCATCATATTGACGTTTAGCATTGATGTTCATTGATTTCCTACTCTATTAATGTCTTTTTTTTACACAACTCTTGTGCTTTTACCTGGATAAGGTTTCGTTGACTTTTCGTCCTCTTTCTTCGGACTTTGGTCACCCTCAGATGAATTGCTTTGTATTTTCATGGACGGAGAGTTTTCGTCAATTCCTGAGATTTCTTTTGATAGAACAAAATCATTAGTGTAAAGCCTTTTTGGCCAATATGTTTGACACTTAGTTCTGCTGAGTATCATTTTCGGTGTTTGAAAAACGCAGTCAATGTGTAGACTGAAGCCTTAATCTCCGTTTTCAACATATCAGGATCAATGAAGACAGGGGCATGATAGATGTTTATCACTGGAGACGATGCTTCTCGTGTAGCAATCTGCTTTTCCCATGAAGCAATCTGCTCTTCCCATGAAGCAATATACTCTTCCCATGTGGCAATCGGCCTGGGCGGTCAGGAATAGGGTTAGAAAGCAAACATATTGAATATGGTGCTTACGGCGTTTTTCCCTTTCATTACAGATTGAAAAGTGGATAACTGGGGCAGGTAGGATTTAAAGGGCCTCAAGGGCTATGAAATATTACGGGTTGGGCTTTTGCGTCAGTACGTTTATGTTGACTTTCCATTTTGTCACGAAAAGGAAAAGGCACAGTAGTAGAGTGAAATGGATAAACTATTTTTTATATACTAATCAATGGAGCAAATAATTAATCTTTGTAGCTTTAATTTTACTTAAAGGAGGTCGCAGATGACTACGAGAATTCTTCCAGATTCAGGCCCCATTCTGGCAACGCGACTTTTGAAATTTGAGTATTACGATTTTAAATAGGGATCGGAAGGATGATGAACCATCACACCTGTTACCTTTGATAGCTGCTTGGTGATCTTCCGAATTCGAGGTGCTAGGTGGCCGTTCCTCTTTGGTTTTCCGTGAGGCCTGAAAATCTTGGTGCGATTTTGGTGACATCTTCACCTTGCTGAAATGCTCTTAAAAGGGAAGAAGGGAGATTATGAAAAAACTGCTCCAAAATCAGTAAGAATCGGGTCCCTTTTTGGAAAAAGTTTCTTTTTTTCCGTAGGACTTGCTTAGAAACAAAGTTCAAAACAAGAAAGTGAAATCGGCCCCCGATCTAGAAGGCTCCATTCTACATCCGGGACCCATTTATATTCACGGTGAAAAGAAAAACTGTGAGAGCTAAGTGTCTTGTTTAAGAGCACATCACAATGACCTCAACACAACACAGTAACCCAACACGTCACAGTGACTCCAACACAGAGACACATCCTCCACTTCCTTAATAGTTGAGCCCAGACCTTCAGATCTGAAGTCCGGTGCACCTACCACTCGGGGGGAGGTTCGGAGAAAGCTGATCTATTTTGAATCCATAAATATATGAAATCAATACTTACCATATTTAGTATCTTTTGGCGGTGGAACACTCTCCGAGTTAGGCTTGTTTGGTTGCTTTGACATTGGCTTTAGCTTACTAAGTTGCTTGTATTGAGCGTCAATCACTTGTTGAGGAGAATGGGATACTTTATGTTTGACTATTTCATTATCAGAAACATGCTTTGAATGGTGGCGTTTAGTTGCCTTGGTCAGTAGATCTGATGATGTGGGGTTTGGATCTCGAATAGAGCCACTTCCAGGATCATGTTTTGTATCATCAGTTGAATCGCGTGTCACGCTTCTTCCCGGATAATCTTTTGAGCCGCCTCCTGAATCATGCGTCACGCCACTTCCTGAAGCATGTGTTACGCCATTTCCTGGACCTTGCGTTACACGTGTTTTTACTTGGCCATTTGTCGCATTGTCTCTTCCTTCGAGTTTGTCAGATTTTTCCGGATGATTTGCCAGTATCTTGTTAGAGAAAGACCTGTGACGGTTTTCGTCTTTAACTGGGATGGAATTTCCTTGTAAATGCTGAGTATCGTTTATATAGTTCTCAGAGCCCTTTTTATCCTTTCGCCCAAGCATGGAGTTAGGTGCATGTGAGATGCTCGCTTTGCCGCTCGGTACCCCTCTCTTTAAGTTAGGTTTGATCTCAATCTTTTCTTTCTCTTCCAGTGTTTTGCTTTTTGAATTTGTTTGATCTGTGATAAAGTTGAATGGAAAATTAGTCTTCTACTCTTCGTAGAGATAAGTAAGATTTAACGAAATTCTTCAATGCTGGCATTTTAAAGGTAGGAGCTAGGAGCGACAAAAAGAAAACAGGGATACAGGTATAATAGTCATTAGTATGCCCTTTGCGGGTTGAAGATGTTCCTATCAACCTTTGATCATGATGAGTCGAACCTAGTCACTAGGGAAGGAATTTCAGTGATGGGTATTTCTACTAGGGTCTCAATGGCATTTGGTGGCAAGATGGGTTGTTTTATAGTTATAAATTATCAATGGTATTTTCTTGACAAAGAGTATGCCCCCAAGCATACGCTCTTGTTAACCCCTGTCCATACCCTATAACTTACTGGCTTTTTGTGTTACTTTTGGCAATGGATGATAATGTTGGCCTGGTTGTGGAACATAACTGTGACTAGCATACCTTTTCGTGTCTCATTTTTACTATCCAATGGGTCCTGTTTGGCCTTTTCCTCCGTAACTTTTCGGATGGCTCCTTTCGAACTTCCTAGCTTTTGAGAGGTCACAATGATCTTCTGTTGTGACTCACCTCTTGCTACTGAAATGGCTGCACCTTTCTGAGGTTCCTTCTTAAGCGGAAAGCTGATGTCATCCACCAACTTTCCTTTTTCATTTTTTTTTGTTTGTGTCCTGTTCTCAATTTGAACGACAATCCGCATTGGATTTTTATAACGGGCTTTTTGTACATCTCCACGGGTAGCTTCTTTGTTATATGTAATTCCACCATTTTGTGAATTACTGAAACCTCTTTCAGAGTTTGAAACATTTTTCCTTTTGGTCAAGGTATTTTCCTTGGTAACTGTTTTGTTTGCCTGTAAGGTATTTAGCGCTGCCTCACTCGTAATTTTGGATTCTTTGACGTTTTTTCTCGACGAGGTCAACCTTTTTTGATGCGTGAGAACTGAATTATCACTGAACTGAGCAGGACTGGTTTCTTTTATTGCATCTGTTTTCATTTTTGCAGTGACGTTCCGTTGCATATAATTAATGTCAATGCCTTCCTTTACCTCATGAGTATCCATAGCCTTAAAATTTTCATGAACAGTATCATTTGCCTTGTTCACTTTTGATGCCCCCTTTTTTCCATTTAGCTTTATTACTATATTCTCGGATTTCGCTGACGGAGGTTTTTTTGTTCTTTTGTGCAACACATCGGAGGTGGTTGTTGTGTTGTTCCCAGTAAGTCCTTTTCTTGAGCTGTTTTTATCCCTTTGAGCATAAGGTTCTTTATTTGTTTGATTCTTCTCAACATTAAGAATCCTTTTTCCGGTCGGGTATGTCTCTCTATAATTACTTTCCACAGCTGAAATTGACTTGTGTAAAGTTGATGAATCATTTCTAGAAATAGACTTGTTATGCAGAGGAGTGTTGGATGTGTTGAGCAGTGCTGGTAATACATTATTGCCTCGTGTTTCCGAACCAATGACATAAGAGAGAGTGGTTTTAGGATCTGAAAGTGAAGTCCTATTTCGTTTCAAGAAATTTATCCTCATTGTTTCCAATGCTGTGGATTTTCCGGACTTTTTCACTTTCTCCATCTCGCTTCGCGATGTGTTTACCTTATTTTGACTAACTTTCCTCTTAGGAAAGAAACTTTTTGTGTTGTTTTGATCTCTTTGGTCATCGTTTGTCGCTTTATTGATTGCACTTAGTTGCTTTACCGCTGGTTTTACGAGTTCCACAGGCCTTTTCCCCCCTCCGCCCCGTGCGCTGTTGTCTTCACCGCGTAACTTTATTTCAGGGCGACTTTCATCATCTCTTCTCAATGAGTCACCACTAGACTTTTTTGAAGAGTTATTTTCTCTTTCTTTTACATCAATAATTTTAATGTGTTGCTTTTCTTTCTGTATCTCTCCCTTACGAGGGTCAGATTTACTTCTCTCTGTATCCGCGTCAACGTTTTTGTGATTCTCTTTGTTAATCATCACCAAGGTGTTATTAGTATTCGATCTTTTTTCTTCACCATTTGTTAATGAGACGGGAAGTGTAATTTTAGGCACCAAAGTAGAACGAGTTTCTGATTTGTCACGAATGGAAGTGAAGTTCTTATTTTCTTTCTCCTCTGACGTTTTCTGGATGACAGACATGGTATTCTTCATTAAATTGTGAGTCTCAGATTTTAGCTTCGGTTTGGATTCATTCATGTTCCTCTTTAAAAACGACACCTTTACTTTCTCTTCTGGTTCTTTAATGGCTGAAATTGAATATTTACGCATTTAAAAAAACAATGATCATTGCATGGATAAGAAGTGGCAGGTGTTCTAATCCCAAGGTTATCCATTGGGAGAAAGGGCATAATAAGTCAAATTATGCGATTTGAAGGATTGAAAGCTGATAAGTAATTTTATGCTTTAGTGCACAACACATTGACCCGGCCAGAGGTTGAGCTACGAGCTTTAGATCCGCTGACCATTAGGCAACGACGTATCCCACGAGGAAACATGCTTTAAAAAAGATGCAGCGAAAGCAAAGGTGTGTATGGCAGATCATTTAAGAACGGAAACTTTCCTGCCACTCAGTCAGAGGATTTCAACTTACGTTTCGTATGAGACGACTTCCTCCCTATGCTTGAAACGTTCTTGATAAAATCAATACTAACTCTTTGAACTGGTAGATCTAAAAATCAACGAGAATTCAACGAAAGGATTGTTTTGGATCCTACTGATTTGATATTCCTATTAAAAAAATTTTTATGTACATTTAAATTTTATGAACAGGGATAGCTTTATATTTTTAAACATGATGAATAAGATTTCCTTAACAATGAAGGGAAGAATGAGCTTTTCTTATGATTTTACCTGTTTGATGGTGAACTGTGTCTATTCTGTGCTTCTTTTCGGGTTCCGTTGAACCGTCGTCTTTATCAAAAGCTGCTGACCCACTGCTGTTCATGTTCACATCTGTTATTGCCAATAATCATGCATATTTCAGGTTATTGGAATCGCCTCACCCAAGCATTACGATCACACTTTATAGGAATTTTCTTTTCAAACACCCTTAATGAATTGCACCAAAGAAATATCAAGGATAACTGAATGAGTATAGAAGTTGCTAAATTCGAAGTAATCGTAGATTGTATTTCCTTTTTGATCTTTACAGACTACGGCATTGTATTTACTCCTCAATCGGTTCTAGCCTATGATCTCTTAAGGGTTAGGCCCGTGTATGACATCATCGATAGCCACCTGTTTGTAATAAAACTAATGATGTCCATGTTGCCTTGGACTTGTTCAAGATTGATCGGTAAAATGTCAGCTACTTTATTATTTTTGAATTGTGACATCATGTGTGATCTTTTACTCAACATTCTCTCTGCAACATAGAATCATTTTTTCAAAAAGGATGACTCTATTTAAGAAATGTTTTGAATGGTTGGTCAATGTAGTGAGCAACGGAAAAGTTGCTCCGAGACAACATTGCGGTTACGTCAGGCAGCATACTAAAAGATAATTATCATAATTAAATCTTGGTGTACGTACCAATTGTGTTGTTCAGCATTTTTCCCAACTTCTGTGTGATTGCTCTTCCTGTGTTGTGTACCATATCATTCACGATCGAATGCATTACCACTTTGGCTCCTGTTTGTTTGAACAAAGATTTTAAAGCAATCCTGTCATTAAAACATTTAGAATTTGATTCAGTACAATTCAAGTATGGTGGCTGATTACAGCCTCGATTACCTTTACTACTTTAACTTATGACCGTCCAAAAAAAGAAACCTCCCAGTTATCAAATCACGTATATTTTCACGATCTCCCAGTAAGTCATGACGGATCTAAATAATGCTTGATGTCAAAGGTAGAAGATGGAAGGGTTTATTACCTCATGCACTTACATCAATTTTGATAATATTCATTTTGCATTATTGTCTGCATATGACTAGGTCTGGCAAAGTTTGTAATGTGTCGGTTGATACATGATTGTTGTTAAACGGAGTTTATCTCTTGGTTGTAGTCATTACTACGTGCAGGTCGTCGAGTCTTATCGGAGGAACGCAAGTAATCCTACCTACCTTTTGCCTTCCAAACTCTCCATATTCTATGCATAACTGATATCCAAAGACCACTAAGTTGTTCAAACGTTTTGAAAGCAACGCCTAAGCTTTCAGGGCCTACGTTTAAAGAGAAAAATTACCGTCAGGTGTTACAGCTTATCATGCTTACTGGGTTGAGATAATTTTATGCTTCGTGCTTTACCAGAGTTGTCTTATGCAGGCAATAATGCAAATATTAGAAGGACAGGCTGGATGGTTGGTTTTCTTACCTGATCTGAGCTTTTTGGCAAACTCCTGATCTGATTTAGCTGTGGAAAGAATAATTAAGCGTTAAAATGTTGAATGTTGGAAGTAATTTCTGCAAGGGCATAAGAGTAGAAACAAATTTAAAAATTGTTTCGGCTTCCATTGCGTCCTCCTTGCGAAAGTAAATTTCGGTTGATGTGACTCACGTGTCAGTTTAGTTTCCACACCAGTTAAATGCTTCAATCAATAAAGGTTCTGTCTGAAGACTTTTCCAGGAATATGCATTAAAATGGTAGGAGGGAGGAGGGGGAGGTGGGTTGTGAGAATTGTCGGCATATAAGAGCATACCATATTTGTTCTCTTTGATGAAAACAAGTTATATGTGCTATGGCGTTTCAAGCTGTTTCAGACATATCTTGATTTTACAGATTTAATCAATAAATTGGATAGGGAAATTGTCATTCATGACTGGTTCTTTTGGCATGATTTTCCCACAAATAAAAAAAACATCTTGTTACGTTATTGGGAAGGTATTTCTGTCATTGTAATCTTACCCTTTTTAAGCCTTTTCATTACATCGATTGCATCGCCAACTGGAGAATAGAAAATTATGGAGTACTTATTGGTTATTAAACATATTCAAGGTTATTGAGATACATAGTAGCCTCTTGATGAAAAGTAGAAGTGTTAAAGCGCAAAACTGCCCATGCCTGGGGGAGGACTATGAAGACCAGTGTTAAACACGTTTGACCTTTTGATGTGACAAAGGATCCAACAATCAACCTGGTTATTAAAGTTTTTTTCCGTAAATTTCTCTAGATCCTGCAATCACAATGTATGGGTACAAAACACTTTACATTTAGAGACTTTAACCCCTAACTAGTATAACTGCGTGAGTTAGATCGGGACAAAGATTCGTTAATTTTCATCCGAGCCGTCTTAGGTCGGAAACACTCACTCTAGTCTAATGTAACAACTGCAATCATCGTGAGAACTCTTTGAAACAGAAAATGTAATGACAAACCTTTAGAAAGATCCATTGAAGAACCAAAATCCTCGTTGTTCTCCTGGTTTCCACTATTCTCCGAGCTGTAATGTGACCTGCCATCGTGTTTGGAGCCCCCTTTGTCTTCACCAACACCAGAGGTAACAAAGATCCTATTGGAGTGAGTTTGCGAGATTCTTGGATAAAATTTGGGCTGTTCATCATCTTCGGCTTTGTCGGTTGAGCTCGAACCAGATTTAAACCCAGTGAAATTATCATCCTCACCTGTGCTGGTATCTGACAGGTGTTGTAGATAAAAAGCGATCAAAAGCCAATATCAGCTTCTGTCAGTGAAACTCAATATGGCAAAACTATAATTTGGCAAAACTACTACCCCATTTCTCGGTTCATTTAGTTTTCAATACACATTTTTTCGTCACCTTCTGGTCTATAACATGGCTTACTGGAAGAACTTTGTTGCGAACTGCTAAGAATATAAATCTGCCCAACTTTGGTATTTCGCGGATTCTTACCACCACTTCTATTCCAATCGTCCTGATCCCAGGATCCCTCTCCACTGACGTCGTCAGCATCATATTCTATAAATGCGAGGGTTAATGCTTACAGTAAATGGTTACAACCCAGGAGTAACAGTTGACCTTGTAGACCTATCCTCCAGGTGAGAGTAGTCCCGTGAAGGACAGTTGTCGGTGCTTAAGGTAGAGACGGAAGTTTCGACAAGCTAATCGTCACCATCAGAATCAAGAAACGTTTTTTGTATGGAATTGTGTATACTGAAAAAACTACCAATAATCCACATAAAAGTCGTTAGTTATATTGATCCCTCTCTACCCATTATCCTCAGTTTCAACCACGTATAGAAACTAACTATGCAATCTGTTTTAAATACTGTCATTATTGGCTGATTGGTTCTTACAGCAGCATTAGCTACATAGAACAAAGACAACAAGAGTTATGTCAATAATATGACATGTGACGGCTTCCATTAAAATGTCATTTAAGCTTTTAGAATCCCAAAAGTTAAATCAAAATCATGGCTTTCTGTTTGATGCCCTTAATCCTCTACAACCCAACATCAGAATGCATATTCTCCAAACTGTTCTCTATAAATTTACAAAGTGCTGACAAGGATAATTTGTTTTAAAAATCAAGAACTTCTTCAGTTAGTGATCACTTCCTTTATTCTCGTGTGATTCAGAGGCAAAGCGGTTAAGCTCATTAAAGCTCTTGGTGGAAAACAAGTCCTGAAGTCAATTGCAAGATCCTGAAAGAGCTCCCCTGTTTCTTTCAATTGTTTATTTGTTTTCATCATCGTTTCTTGATTCGATCTTACCTTCACAACAGCCTAGTGCCAGTCCCTGTATGACAAGGGGGAGCAAGATGACATAGAGGTTCATCACCTCTCCTGCTGTAGGTGGAACTACCCCCTGAGCAGTGGTTACATGTATGAACTTTCAGGAGGGGAAATACTCTTGGAATCTGTGAACATGAAGTAAAGAAAAATTTTGAACTGTGTTTCATATCCTTTTTTAATTTAAGGAAAGATAAATTTAAAACATTTATATGGCGCAGCATACTAGAGACTAAGGAAAGGTTTTTATCGTGAAATGCTTGTTTTAAGAATTTCTCTCGCTATCCACTTGACTAGCTGTCCGTTAAGTGGAAAGAAAAATTTGTATAGGTGTTGAATAGAAGTGGACCGTGCGAAGGAGGATAAATTTATTGATGTCTCAAGATGTTCATAGCACTACTAGGGCTATAACATCCTGTAGACAATGTGTTTCCCACATTTTAGCCTAGGACTAACTGCAGTAGCTTGTGACAATATCGGAGGTTAAAAAACAGAAATATTTTCGATATACGTGGAAAATCTTTGAAACATGAATAAACTCATCTAATGAAATGCATTTTCATTTACGTGCAGGTCATTGAATGTTTCTTCTCAGTGTCTTTATGAATTTTTTTGATAAAAAAAAAACACAAAAGACGTTACATCCATCCCATTCAGAACGAAGATTGTACAGCCGGTAAAAATGGGAGCCTTGTTTGTGCACTTGTTGTGTTTCAGTGTATTTGCAGCCAAAAAGCAAACAAACCAGCAAAGGGAATTTCGATATGATAACAGAGCTTTTCATCCAAGTACCATATTTGTAAAATACTTTACAAAGGATATGGTTATTGGTGCCAAGTTATATTTAGACATGGATGACATAGCTTTATATCTAAGATTATCTTGGCTCATCCTGGTTAGTAATGAACCCCTCGATCGTTGAATTTTTTTTTAACCAAAGAATGTATGAACTGGAAACTTGACAGTTTCAGCCATGCTGATTCATCTTGCTCATCGTGTCTCAAAAGCTAGCTAGAACTGGGTCAATTTCAAACGTCAAGAGTGCACTTACGATTTGTGACGGCTCCTACAAAAAGTTCCACTATTTTTCCTGATTTCAGTCGAGGTTCAGTCGTGAAAAAGGCGAATTTTTGCGATCCACTGCGTTCAACAGGAGTGTTTAAGGAAATTCCTTAGCAAGTCTCGCTATATAACCTCCGATTTACATTAAGTTTCTGTTTTACTGAAAATTTGTAAAGTTAGTTTATTCGATCATCCGTGAATGTAATGAAATACTTCGATTCTTTTATCCCATTATCGCGAACAATGGAACCCGTGGTCACCAGTTGCTTTGCAGTGCTTCATGCGTAGTCTCTATTATCCGTGGATTTGGGATCGTGTGTCTTATCACACCGTCCAAATAACAATAATTTCCGCTGAATTTGATTCGGAGTTGAAAAAAAGGCAGAGTGCTTTCTTTCATTCAATACTTCAATTTTAGCCAACTGTAAACTTAACATTGCGTTTTCAATGAGGACATCATCACAAACCCTTCAAACTTAGCACATTGCGTAACTAACTGACTTTGTGGTTCAGTTAATTATAAGGTATCCTACCTCAAAGTCGGCGGTGTTTTCTCCATTGAACACTAGTGAGTCTATGATTTTAAGCTTCTAACGATGATCACTTTTCTATTGACAAATACGCATTAAAACGTATAATTTTAATAATTTTTTGTGTTTTCTTCAGTTGCAGACCGTAACACTGAACTAAGGTTTTTGTTCCATTTAAAAACGAATATTGAGTGATGGATTGAAAAATAGAACACTTGCACTTAAAAATATTCCTCGGAAAGATTAGTTAGTATAGAATGCTGATTAAAATTCTTTTCAGCGAATCACAAGTGCAAGTACGCCTAGCTAAACAAAAAAAAAAATCATTGATCCTAAGAAACGTTTCCTGCAGTCATAAATACCGTAGAAAAAGGAAGCCGGTTCCACTAGTAATTCTTAGTGAGTACAATCCTTAAAATCTGGCATGGAAATTATAAATAGAGGGAACTTTAGAAAGGGAACGACTCTTGAGTTTTTCACAATTGTTTACACCTGGCTTCATTTAGACAGAACTTTTCCTAAAGCTCTACGGACTCGTGAGTCTGCATTCCTGGATGCGGACGGTGGTGCAATAAGTAACCGTCAACGTATAAAATAGATTGTAATTTATCCCTTAAAAATTCTTGTGATTATTTAGACCGAGGAAGAAAAATAATCGTTTTCAGGTTTGGTAATTTGGTAGAAGTTTTCAATTTTTCACAAGTATTGATGTCTTCAAGTGGCAGCAATAAATCGGGAGTACGTTTCCTAAGCTTTCTCTTGAAGCTCGAGAGAACAATAAATGGATGAATGATTTTATTTGACAGGTTTGATTAAACAGTTTGTGCCAAACTTAAACTTAACTGCACTTTTTACTTGTTAGCTTTCCATTTCTCATCGAGAAAAAGCCTCGAAAGGATAAATAATTTTTTCTTCCTACGTTCCATCTCGTTCAAATTTGAAGATGCCTCCTACTTCTAAGTAGCCGGCTACAATGCTCGAAAGCGCTTACTATGCACTAAGTCTTAACCTTTTGACCTTGGCTCTGTTTTAATTTAGAACTTTGGTACCCGTCATGGGTATCTACGTTACCATGTGACGTGATTCATGGACAATCACTATCAGTGACTTTTAGTGAAAGATTGTTTAGTAAACACTATATTTCATCTCCATAAATATGCCAACCACTTTTGTTACCACTTTGTGTTCTCATCTTAGCGTATCAAAAGAGTGAAAGAACCTGCTGCATCGTAGACTAAACTAGAGTCAGTGAGAGAATCGCCGTCAAGTACCTCACACTGCTTTATTTTGCTGACACGACTGTCATACTTCGTTAAAAAGCAAATAAATGGAAGGCCATGCATCCTTGTACCAAAAGATCAAATTATCGAGCGAGAATGCTAAAAAAATGTAAATTAAATCATATGAACTCTTCCAACTTTAACAAGTCACAAGTACCAGTCGATCAATCATCGGAATCGTGAAGGAATTATCTATTCTACATTGAATTCGTTTGCAGTTAATGGTAATTACATTTGGCCACACCTACCTCTGTACTAAATGATGGTCGCCCTTTCTCCCCTCTTAGCCTTAAGAATCACAGTTCCATGAAAACGAAAATCACTTCGAGAAACTCGTAAACTTACTCATGGGTGGTCGGTATCAACACGGCTAGGGGTTTACAGCGAGTTGTGTACGCATGACCGACAGTGTGATTCGAGACGCGCGCAATGACCTCAGCGAAGTGGTATGATTATGGTTATGACCCTCCACTGACCTGGCCTGTTCAACGCATTAAAGCGTCGAAGGGAGAGAAAGCCTCGAACAAAATCTCCCCGATGATTACACGTCACTTGGTTTTCGTGAAATGTGAAGCATTTAGACTCCTTCTCACCAGGCAGTGATCCGTGGGATGGTGTCCTGCTCTACTGATGCGAAGCGAAGATTTAGTAAATTCTTCAGAGGGAAACGTTTTCTTCAGTCTTGAAAACGCAGTTTCATCGTGTATATAGGTGCATTTAGCCGATGTCTGCCCGAAAATTGAGAAAAATGTCTGATTTAGCCTAATTCTAGAGGGACAGCAAGTTCGTCTTTGGTGCCAATACTTTAATGGTTTGTACTGGATCAAGTAGTAGTGTAATATCGCAAGCACCTGTGGCATAATAACGACGAAACAGGTCCGTTCGCCTGCGCTATTTGAGTGAGGTGAATGTTGATTAATCTCTCGGATATCTAATGTAATTCAAGTCTTCAGGTTTGTAAAGAATCCCAAAACGGATTCTTTTCTTGTCATGGTCTTTCCTAGTTCGATTGATAGAGGTTGTCTTTAACTGGTCCTTAGTAAAAGCAATTGAAGAAATTGTTTTTGACTTAATTGAGTAAAAAAGTTTCGTTCAGTCAACAATTCCACGGTTTGTGCTACTTTTAATGGTCGAAAGTTAATTTGATAGGCAATTTAGTGAGACAAGAAACGATCATTAAAATAAAAGTTTGTTTGATGAGGAGACCAGGGTTCTCTTTCCGAGAGTGGGGTTTAATGTGTGATATATTGAACTTAGGGCGAAGATGGGTCAATAAGACATGATTGATACTTTAAGACAAAAACCATATAATTTTTAAGCTTTAAAATATTTTATTTCTTCAAAATATTCATTTTAAACAACATTTCCTTAATATTCTCATTAAGTTGTTGCCATATTCTTCTCTATCAAAATATCAATTTTATAAAATGTACGGGACCATCGTAGAAAAGGAAACCCTTCAGCATGGTATTCTGTCTTCCATTTGTCCTCGTTATTATTTTTGGTCTCTGCTGAAGATTACAAATTATTGCTGAAAAATAGAAATTCTTATTGAAATAAAAAATTTTCCCCGTGTTTCGTTGCAGTCCTTCAAAAATATTCTAAGCAATTACGTTCTCGACATTATGCTGCTCGAGAATTGGAAATCCATAATAAGAACAAAACGGAGTTGTGTTCATTTAGACAGCTGGATAAGAGGTCGTGGTCATAAAATCCAGCCGAGTTTTCCATGAGTACTTAACTCTTTCACTCCAAACAGTGACCGAAAAAAGAATCTTTAACAGGAAGGTGCATGGAACAAAGCAAAATATTAACCAGAGGCCTTCTAATACAAGATTCTCAGGGCTGAAATCGTATAAAATGAACGGCAGACAGAATAGACATTAAGATATTGGAGGTGAAAGGGTTAAGGTCATGGCACGAGATGAAACTGCATAAGAAACGGCTGCATGCTGTTTTCTGATCGGTGAATCAGAAGAAGAAGTTGTTCTAAAGAAACTGGCCATGCAATCTAAAAATCGCCGTTTTCTTGTCGTGTTCTTTCTGCCCTATCTTGTTGTTGGTGCAAAGTTCCTCCTCATCTTACTGTGTCCAGTCGCCAGCGGCATTCCTTGTGATGCCGGTTGTCTTTTCGCTTCTCAATAGTCCGTCATGTTTTTTTGTTTAAAGGTTCTCTTTTGTGATTAAGAACGATATGATGTGAAAAACCTGAAAGTATTGAAAAATACAATGCATATTAATGATAAACAGACAAATAGAGTTTACTCTTGGAAAAATGACCAAAATCCTTCGTTTGGTTGTCCGTTGTGTGACGAGGCTGGGACGAAGAACTCGGAGTCCCCTTGGAGAAATCGAGCCCCTGGCTCTCGGATTTTGCGGTACGATGCTCTTCTGTAGGCTACTAATGAGTTAGAGAAAAGTCAGTGGTTGTTTAGACCATTTGTAGCTTCCTATTTGACAAGAATTTTACCAGACGTAGGTAAGAATGAAGCTTATTACATATGAATCATCTTTCTAATACCATCAAAGACCATCATAGGTTATTTCTCCACCTCGGTTTCCTTGTGGTGTAAATTGTTGTGTACGTGTACCTTTCACAGGTTTTAAGAGATTCTGAACATTTTATTATAACAATACAGACACACTGAACGGCATTTCTTATTCATGAAAGTTTTCCTTGAACGAGGAATGTTCGAGCGTGAGACCTCTCTTTCCGTTTCATGCATTGTGATGATGTATTTGAAGAAGATGGGTGGCTGTAATTTCAGTTGAAGGACATTGAGCACGGTGGGCTCCTGAGAATATTGGCGCTGACTAATAGAGAGTTAATTGGCTTATCTGGGAAGTCTCTTCTCAATTTGGCAGTGAGTAGTGATGAAATTGTCAAATTATGTGTCTCGCTTGCAATATTTGTTAATTGCTTTTTTTACTTTTTCCTATCAGAATGATGGAATTAAGATTTTCTCTCCGACGGTTTGAAAATCAAACGAAGAAGTGAGTCTTTCGTAATCTAGACATCTGTTGTTTAGAAACTTCACAGCTTTCGGTGAATTATTAAAAAACTCTGCAGGTACTTCAAGTAAATCTCAATACGCTCGAAGCTGGATTAATTTTCACATCCTCCAATGAAAATGGTAAAGATAGTCTCTTGTTATTACCAATTCTCTGTAAATTTTAGCATAGGTCACGCAAGACCTCATGATTGTGACAAAAAGGCGAACTTTTCTCAGTCGAAAGTTTCTAACTTTAACCAGCCAGGTACTATAGGATAGAAAATACTAGAAGATGTTACCCTAAGACGTTGATCAATATTTGGAGACTCTACTGAATACTGGTGGAATGTTATCCCTCTCTTTCAATCCCCACCGAAAAATTACTATACTTAGGAATACTTCAAGACCTTCTCCCATAATTCTTTCTTTTCGGTATAATCGATCCCTGAATTATTTCGTGATTCAGAAAGTTAAGCTACTGCCTGTGAGCGCAAACCAGCAACTGACTGTTGGAGGACCCACTTTTTGATTAGCGGAGCAATTATCTTACAAAGATCGATAGAAGATTCTAGCAACACCTTTGCGGTCTTTTGAAAACACTCAATCCCTCTGGAGAGTGACCACTGCTACGCCTGGTCTTGAATCTTAAGTGGCAAAAGTCTCTGTTGAAGATGTGCTTTCTGTGAACGTCTGGACCACGATAAATCGTAAAGATTTTAGCCCTAACATTTACTTATTAAAGTATATTGTTCAATTTTTTCAAAATATTAATGACATCTTGCAAAGCTCTACTCGCACAGCACAGTTACTCCTAAAGCCGTAGAACGAGCCTAAACTTGTATTGAATAAAATTTTTTGGGGGCACAGTTTGCTATCAAAAGGAGGATTTATGGGTTACGAAAGAAAAAAAAGGATAATTTACCGATGTCTGGTCGGGATTCCAAAATTCTGAAAAGTCGTTCAGGATGCAAAAGCTTATTCGTTACAGCACATCTATCAAAATAATAAATAATTTCTTATATCAGAGCCAAGACTAGTCTGTCGTCGGGACACCGAAAGCCAACTCATTTATGCTTTCTGAGAGTTTGTTATTTATACTTTTTTTCTGAATTAAAATAAAAAAGAAAATAAATGCAGTGTACTGTGCTTATTATGGGTTGTTTTCCCTAAACTGATGCACACTGTTTTGTTAAATTAGATGCTATTGGGCAGAGTTGTGATGTTGTCATATAATTTGCTTTGGTGACATAACTTTCTTCTTCACTAATCAAATTCACATTTGTGATTTACTGTCTGTCATATTTATTTTTTTCAAAAGGTGAAGCAAAGTAGAAGCAAACTCATGTCGAATTTCAGGCGAATTAAAGGCAAATAAAACTCTTGCCGTTGGGAGTATCATTTTCCATTCGCTTTATCGTGACAAACAAATCAAGAAATAACTCTAACACAAAGATGGTTGTCATAGATTTACCAACATAATTTCTTAAAGATATCTGTTAAGGAATACCTTTATGTAAAATAGAATGACTTACCAGCGAAAGAACAATATATCAAGGCATTCACTTTAGCTTTCGCCATTAAATGTTTCAGTGTACTGAACATGGGCCTCCTCACATCCACTTGTCACATGCTTGATAAATGTTTGTTCCAATTGCTGCCTTTTGCGTTTCAATTTTTCCAGTTCTTCCATCAACCTTGAATTTTCCATACAAAGCTCCTCCACTGTTGTTTCGAGCCTTGATTCACGAATAAGCTTTTTCTGACGGCATTTCCACGCCGCCAGACGATTTTTCCGCCGTTTTTTTTCCGTTTTGATGAAACCCTGAACGTCAGGCATTTTGGATGATTGTGACTGGTCGTCTACACTGTTCGGCTCTTGCTTTATGACCGACATGTTATAGAGTTTTGTGTGAACTGTTAGCCAGTGCTTTGGTGTCGGGGTGTCCTGAATCATGTGTTGTTCTTCTGAGAGCCACTCGTTATGTGGCTGAAAGTTGTCTTGTGCATGGACGCCTTCTTGGAAATCCATGTCATCTGCAGCTCTGCGGTCGATTTCAAAATCTCCGACGCTATAGTCATTTGCCGTGTAATCAGATAAAGGCGAATTAGTCGAACAATCGTCCGATTCTTCTTCGGCAGAATTTAGCAAACAGTCGCTATATGGGCACTGTTGTTGTCCTGAGAATCCTTCTTCTAACGTTTCCACTTTAAACCATTCTGAATCCTCCGACCGCTCGAGCTGTTGTCCATATTCTCGTTCAGAAAAAGTTCTATGCGTGTTTTGATCTGCTTTGGTTTTAATTGTAGCACCCGTACATCTAACAGGTAAAAAAGTTTCTTGAAAAGACGGCAAACGGAAAGATGAATCAAATCTGTAAGAGATGAAAGTGCATTTCGAGTCATCGACCACTTTATTTGATTCGTCCTCCGTGGGCGTCCGAGTTTTGCTTGCTTCACGCAGTTCCCTCTCTTCTCGCAAACGTTGAAGCGCGTCGGTAAATCCCCTTGCAAACACCTCTTGTTCTGCGGTGACTTTCTGTGCGGAGTAATCTTCTTGTGTGGCAAAAATTGGCGGTGGAGGAGATGTTGACTGTAATTTTACTGCGCAAGAATCAGGAAAGTTTCTCCAAACGATCGTCTCAAGATCCGGCGATGAAATCCCGATATCCGGAGATCTCAGTAGATCTGAGATATCAAAATCGTCTCTCCTTGCCGATGTCTTGCACTCAGTCGTTAAATTTAACCATAATCTATCATTGTCTTGAGCACAGGAATTTTTATTTGCTAACAGAAAGCTTTGATCCTCATAAATGGTGGCCTCCATTTTAAATTAAATCACACTTAGAGACGCTCTAAAGTTGCGTACGAAATCCGTAAACCACACGGCCTGCTGTGAGGTTTGCTTGTAGAAATGTTTGCCTGAACTTTACACCAGTTTCGATAGTCTTGAGAAATTCGTGAGGTTCCATTAAAGGCACGTGGAATTCTATTGTCTCATGGATTTCAATGGAGATGCGTGGCACAAATCTTGGTAATCCTTTGTTTCAGTCACTGTGTTTGTTCCCTGTGATTGGCTAATTTCGTTTGAGGCTGGTAATGTATTATTTCTCCCCGTGTACAGCGGCGTGACTTTTTTTTTTGATGGTTCAAGACTGTTCCGAGTGACTTAGAAGTCAAGGGCCTTTCATTCGAATGAAATTATATTTACTTAAAACAAGAGGAAGATAAATCTCATACGCCACGCAAACCTATCGTGATGGTCATTCACCTGTTTCCTTTATTCTTGTTGATGTAGATTGTTCTTAACATTAGTCTGACGATGTTTTCGGTAAATGGGTAACATAATTTGAGCTCTAAACTTTTTTTTTTTAATCGTTGGCTGACCATGATGTGTCTTTTATATACATTTGTCATTTGTGATCATATTAATCGCTGAAACCCGGTCCAGTTAATTTGTAACTCTATGTCAGGGTACCCATTGACACTTTTGATGGTGGCAGATGTGAACCAATCTATCACCTGTCGTTTGTTGTTTTTGTTGTAGAACTCCTGCAGTTAGTATGGTCATCATTGGGCCTTCAAGATGGTCTCAAAATGGGTTCATTGACGTAATTATTATATCATTGCGGAGGCGGCGAGGCCTAGCGGTTAAGGGCGCTGGATTTTGAAGTCCCAAGGTCAAATTTCCCTCCTTTTTTCTCAACTAGATTTGAGTCTATAGCTTCGAGTTCAACTCCTCCGCTGCACCTAGTTACTAGTTCACTGATTTGGTTCAACCAGAGAAAAATTTCTAAGTTCATCTGCAAAATAGGCGTCTGCATCTCCCTCTTTCTGAAGCAAAAAAAAACTTCTACTCTACACGCAAATCCCCAACTAGTTCTTGGACTTTACATTTTATCGAGCACTTGTAAGTTGGACCTGTCGCGTGCTGTATTACTCATGAGAAATAATGGAGATTTTCCGCGAACAGCGGATGTTATTCAGATAAACATCTTGATGGGCTTATTTCAGTTGTTGTTTGTTTACATTAAAATCCTTAAGTTATCTCTGCAAATATTGTAGTTTAATGCATCGGGAGGGGTTGTACAGGAATTGGAAAACTCTTTACCAAAACTTGCAAAACTATTTGGATCTTACCTTCCTAAGAATCCATATCTCAGGTCTATTCTCTACAAGTCTCACTCAGGCGATCAAAATGATAAGCACATTGTTATTGGTCCGAGATTGCGTCACAGAAGGAAAAATCCATAGCTCCGTGTTGTGTTTTAAGATGATCGAAAGAAAGAGTTTGCTTGAAATTGAACTGGCAATGCAATTGACCCGTTTGTTATCCTTTTTTGATGCTTATACGATTATTTCCCTCCTACTCGCTTAACTTAAAAACCAATCTCCTCTCCTTTGGCGAATAATCGTTAACTCAAGTAAACACTGAAAACCATAAACACTTGCTGCTTGTGGAGAGCTTCAGCTTGCTCTGGTCGACACGGTCCCTTTCCTTAACATAAATCCCTGCATTATCCTGTCCAATTCTTGGAAAAAGGTAAATGACCTTTAAAAAAAATATTTTTCTGCATTTTCTGTGAACAATTGACAGAAATATTTCTTTATAACTCCAAACTTAATTAAATAACACGCAAGTCCTAAAGGAAATTCGTTCTTTTCGCCATTATTTTCTCTACCGAAGAACCCTGTACATAATGAAGTTCAGTGCTGTGTTGAAATCCAATTAACAACAGGCCCATGTAACATACAGAAGCTATGTTGTTTATTTTTCAGTCCTATGAGTATGCGATACAATTGTATACCGCTGGCCGGCATCGGCCGCATACGTTACAGCCATTATTATTTTTCTCGTCATGGCAATTCTGTATCAGTATCCAGAATATTACAGCTGGTTTATTGAAAACTTGTACTTAGTTATTTTTTACCACTTTTTCCCCGTAGTTTGTCTCCCAATAACTTGCACATTTTACCTTCTAAGGAGGAAAATTGGTCGAATGGACGTGTTAACGAAGGATAAGAAAAATTAAATCAGTTGGTGGGTTTACTCGCGTCCTTTTTTAATTACTCTTTGCTGAACAGAAATATTTCACAACTTCTTTACTTTATTTATCCATTTATTGATCTCGAAAAGAATAACAACGTGACTTAAGCGTTGAAAAATATTGACACGAGACAGGGAAGTTCTATGGAGAAGTTACCGTGGTTCGGTTGTACCTCCCTTCTTTTTCAGAAATACTGGAACCTTTAAACGTGCCTAACAGATCAAGTGGAAGGAAACCATTTTCACCTCTAATGCTGCTCATTAGAAGCTAGAAATTTTCCTTTCTTTACAGTCTGATAAAATCATTGTATTGTAAAGTAGTCAGATCTTACAGGATTTTTTAAAACAGGTGACTAAAAAATGTTCTTATTCTATTCACTTCAGGAAGAATTATTGGTCCTCGTTGGAGAGTTATTGGCGCTGAAGACGGCGAAAGATAAGAATAAAAGTTTAAGTTTCAATCCAAATGTTGGCATCACTATGTTTTGAGACTAAGAAACTTGCATCATTTTATTGCAGAGGAACTTTTAGTTTCACCCTCATTTTTTATTTAGATTGATTTGTCATAAACTCTAATTGAGCACTTTTCGATCAAGTGTCAAATGACCAAGGCCGCAGTATTCTCGACGGCAAATTAGATTATATGGGAATAAAAAATTTAAGCAGAAAAAAGCAAATTGCCCGAGGCCTGGTTAAATGTAACAAAACCATTAATTAGCTTTATATTGGATTGGTCAAGAGGTTAGCTTAATTGTTCTCCTTATTAACCCGTCGCCAGACAGTATCTAATGATGCACGGTGAGTTCTTCATGCATAAATGCCGCATAAAGCCGAAAAAACGATTTTCTAGGAAATTCTTGACAATCGAAAGCAAATTTCTTATTTTTGAAAAGGTAAAAAAGGTGAGACGAAGTTCGATCCGACACAAAACGAAATTGACAGAATTTGCATCTTTGCACTAATTGGATAAATTCCGCTGAATTCAAGAAAAATGTGGAAACGTCCAAAAAACTTAAAATTCAGAATTAAAGGTAATTGATACTTTAGAAAATCGCTTTTTCTCTTCAGTTTACACTTAAATATTTATTGGGTTTCTCTGTGGTTCAGTAACAAACAATGTTTAAAGTGGCAGTGGATTTAGCTTTTGCCCCCTAAACTCTCCCTTTAAGTTTTACAAAAGTTGAATTTTATCCATGAAGTTGCTCATGTTATTCTTTAATGACTTGATAGATGTAAAAAAAACATACAGCCGAATTTGAATTTGCTCGAACCTTATTTTCTCTTGCTCGAAAGTGTTCTTTATTGCTATGATTTACAACCTAGAAATTTCGTACGTTCCAATCCCAAACGCCATCCGTTTCCTTTTTGTGCTGGTATGGGGCAAGAAGTATTCAATATTTTGCTGCCAATCTGACAAAATACACCAGAGAAAATAAGGATACAGTAATGATATTTTTCTGTAATATGTGAAACAGAAGGCTACATAAATTTTTAAAGTGAATTTCACTTTCCACATTTCAAACAACAGTAATTGTCAAACTGTTGTACAAAAAGGTTCAAGAAGAACACTGAAGAAGTTTCCTATTAAAACTAATAACAGAAACAGAGAGCAGTGTATTGTTTTCGAATACCGATCGATTTATAAATTCAAAAAGTAAAAGAAACAATGAAACTTGATTTAAAGGCAATTTAAAGAAATTATGCTAAGAAATCTACATAAACTTTATCTGACAGCCGCCAATTTCTATATTGCATATCAGAATTGAGGTGAACGATTTAGCGTTTGCTTTTTCATTTACACGGATGCATTTTGACTTCCTTTAATTTCTCTCTCAATCCTATCACAATTCGGGTCTGTAACTTCTCTTCATGTTCATCGACTTAAATAGATCTAAAAAATTGCCTAATTGTGGGACCAAAAGTCTTGTTGAGACCAGATATCGATGTGCAGTTACTTTTTGGTTGTTGAGGAAGCAAGAGAACAGAATGCATTTTTAAAGCTTGATAAGTGAACGTGTGATGCAGATACTTGAAGTAGCCCAACAAGGATGAAAATGGGACAAATGAAAATTCCAGTGAAGGATTAATACGAAATCAAACAATCCCTCTAGTTCCCAAGACAGACCAAAAGCAAACAGACCACAACTTTGGGCTGTAAAAGAAGACAAAACTGAAATTGCAAGCTCTCTGTAACCTTTTAAATTCAACCGACTTATAAGCCATTTGGGACAATCATTGTGGCCTTATTTGGAACAATAATTGTGGCCTTATTTGGGACAATCATTATGGCCTGATTTGGAACAATAATTGTGGCCTTATTTGGGACAATCATTATGGCCTGTCTTGGTTACATAGCTTGCAATTTTGTCTTTTTCTTCTTCAACTTAAGAAAGGTTTGCATCGCTCGCACAAAAACACCATCTTTCAGAAAGTTGGTCTTTTTTAATTGGATGCATGGTGGTTGTGAATCTAGACCCAAAAACGAGATAAAATAATCCAAAAAAAAGAAAGATTCAAGATTAAATTTATGTCAGACGGTGCGACCTCTTTTTTGGCGGGATTTTTATTTTAAACCGAGGCTAGAAGTTTTTTTCGTCAGGAAAACTTTAGAAAGGCAACTTCGTTGCCAGGGAAGACACTGCATGTTGGAAGACACTGTGCATATCGTTTCAAATTTTCCCGCCTTATTCTTAGTATATAAATGGAAGCTTGTTCTTTACACTTTTGACTTAATTAATACAGAAATTAAATATTAAAAACAGACTTGTGAATATGAAGAAAATGCAATGAAATGCAATAACTTGATTATGTTAATAAAGAACGCCGTAAAACAACACAATGGAAACACTTCTTTATTAGACTTTATTTTCACTTACATGCTGGAAGAACTGATATCTATAACTTAATTGTTTGAATTATTCTTATGAAGTTAAAAAGAAAAAAAAGGCGCGTGCGTTTTTCAAGCGCCCGTGTTTTTTTCTCATCTTTTGGCGGGAAA